CCCTAAATCTGGATCTTGGAACATTTAGAAGCATAAGATTGTTTGACCTCAGTGTTCTAGATGAAGAGTGAACATGCAAGAGATCTTGAAGATAGGTTGGAGCAAGGCCATTCAAAACCTTAAAAGCTAACAACAAAATCTTAAAATCAATTCTGAAAGATACAGGTAACCAATGTAATGAAGCCAACACAGGTGTTATATGCTCAAGTTTCCGTTTACCAGTTAAAAGTCGGGCTGCAGGATTTTGAATCATTTGGAGATGATGCACGGAGGACTGATCTATGTCCTTGTGCAATGAACTACAGTAGTCCAAATGTGTAGTGATAAAAGCATGAAAAATTTTCTCAAAATCTCTAAAACAAAAATAGGATTTCACCTTGGCTAAAAGATGTAAATAAAAAAACCTAACTTGACAACTGAATTCACATGTTTATCCAGTTTCAAACGGCTGTCAAAGACAACACCAAAATTTCCAACAGCTGTCTGATAAAATGGAGATAGAGATCCAAGAATTTCATCAGGGTCTCTTCCAGTATTTTTCTGTCCAAATAAAATCACTTGGGTTCTGTTATCATTCAAATTGAGAAACTTGAGTCCATCCATGTTCTAACTTCACCTAAACAGTCTAATAAAGACTGTAAAGAATCATCCTTATTTTTCCCCATTAAAGACATGTAAATCTGTACATCATCTGCAAAAAAATGGAATGAAATATTAAACTTTATAAAAATGTGTCCAAGAGGCAACATATAAATAGAAAACAGAAAACAAAACAGGACCCAGAACTGAACCCTGGGGGACTCCATACTTTAAAGGTGCTTCAGCAGAGAAACAGTGATCTAAATGAACAGAGTAGCTCCTGTTCTTAAAATATGACTTGAACAACGACAAAACTGTACGCCTAAGACCAACACAGTGTTCCAACCGAGACAGGAGGATGCCATGATCTAAGGTATAGAATGCTGCACTTAGATCTAATAACAGCGAGTGAGACTGTGTTGGTGTGTACTTCTTACCTTTTTAGGACCATTTCTGCTGTAAACACATACCTTGTCAGGACCAATAGTCCTTTTGGGATCCAAAGAATGGTCCTAATATTGTGGAAAGCCATTTTTGTGTTAGGGGTTAGGTTTAGGACTAAGCTATGAATTGAGGAAAGATTAGGCTACTGAAAGGACTGAAAATAAATGCAAATCGATACGCGTTCCTAATAAAGACAGAAATACAAACGTGTTTGTGTGTGTGCATGTGTGTGTGKGGGGGTTTCGGCTTTGGTGACATTTGGGGGCAATTTTAAGACAAAAATCCTAYATTTGGGGACAACTGGTGCATTTGGAGACAAAAGCTGAGTCCCCATTTGGTCTAAATGCCATTGGTGTGTTTGGTGTTGGGCTTAGGACCAAGGTGTGAATTGAGTTTAGGTTAGTTTTAGGGTCAGGTAGGTACCTGTGAGGTTAGCCTTAGGGTTTGTGGTCAGGGTTAGGCTGTAGAAATTACTGGAAATGAATGGAAGTCAATGAACGGTCTTAATAAGGATAGAAATACAAACCTGTGTGTGTGTGTGTAATAATTCTGACCAGCTCTCCTCTGCTTGCAGAAGAAGTCTGGTGTCATGAAGACACAGGAGAAGAAGGAGCGGTGGAAGGAGAAAAAAGCAGTGAAGCGACAAAAGAACGAAGATGAGGACAAGGAGGAGGAGAACGTCCAGCCGGTGCTGGATCCCCTGGAGAACGGCTTCCTTCATCACGCTCAGCGAGAGCAGGAGAGGATGAACGAGAGGCTGCTGAAGAGGACTTACTCCAAGAAGAACAAAATGGTGAGCGATCAAGTCCATATGTTGACATCTGAACAGGTGTTGCTGCATGAAGTTTGCATGGCTTGCTGACTTTTGGGAGTACTGTGGCTATAAATGAAGAGGAGTGTGTTTGGGTTTGTCTCATTCTTACTGGTAAGAGAGGAAGTTTTAGATTTAAACCTCCTTTACTGTTGCTGTTTTCTTTATTCCTGTGATACTGCTAAGAGGTTCAGTTAATTACTTTTATAATTGCTTTACTGAAGGTTGACAGCGACAGTAATTGTGTACAAAGTTGTTTGTTGTTTGATGTTAACTGCAGTTAAGGATAATTATTTCAGCAGTTTAAAGAGACTTTGAAACTGCTAATATGGGGGCTTAGGACATATAAATTTACCCTGACAGAATCCATTCATTCTACTCCCAATAACAAAAGCAGGAAACAGATGAATGAGATCAAAAGGTCTTTGTGAGATTAAAAGAAAATAAAGCAAACAGACGTTTGTTGTGATTAAAAGACATTTCATAAAACACGTGAACACAGATGAGCTTTATGATTATAAAACTCAACTGCTGCGYCTTCAGGTGGGTTTACACTGCCGCTCTGTCCTTATTTTCTTTTCTGTATAAGTGGCTTTCTGCTGGTGTGGATAGATGACTGCCAATATCCAGGGCTTTAAGCACACTGCTGAGCCCACAGACTTTGAGTCTGTCCCGCTGAGATAGCTCATCTATGTGTTAACAGTTTGTTTAAGTGGCGGATGTTTTCATGCTCCTGTCCAAAGCCAAGATCCACTATAGGGCTGTTGAGGATAAGAGAGGAAACGTAGTCAGGAAGCCAAACCAAATAATGAGACTATGTAGCCTAGAGGACTCCTCCACAGACAAAAATATCTCTTAGATAAGATTTCCTGAGGAAGTTAACATTGCTGCAAATGATTTTGGCTGTGATATTTAGTGCTATGAGCCAGTTAGAAAATACATATATTTAGTTAATTCAGCGTGCCAGTACAATAAGCTGTAATTACTGATTCACATCTAAATTCCAGCAAAGTTTATTACTCTGTCACACAGAASCCCAGTAACTTACTTTGTACTGAGGTTCGTGTTTTACAGTAGCTTCATTTAAAAACTGACTTATGCTTCTAAAAACAACTAGATTATAAGATTAATCAAGTTCAGAACAATAAAATAATGCTTCATTAAAGCTTGTCTTTGTAAGTTGTAAATAATTACAATTTATTCTCAGGCTAAATAACAGTTTGTATATTTTATTCATGAATTTCCTTTTTTTTTAGCTTTAGGAGACTCCCAGTAACCCAGTGAAAGCTGCTGCATTTTGAAATGACAAGTTTTTTTCCTAACTCTTTCTAAATTGTATTTCATCTTATTGTCTTGGTGTCTTGGTGTGGCTTTGTGTGACTAAATCATGGCCTGGGTGGGTGGGAAAAGTATGCAATATATTTCCTCTTGCCTTGGCATCAGTTATTACACTGACAACTAGAATCACACAAATAAAACATAAAGATATCAGAAAGCTCTTAGTTATGTCACTGTTCTGAGCACCAGCTTGCTGTAGGAAACGGCGGTCAAGTCAAGGTGCAAATGAGTGAATCCCGTGGTGTAATCATGTTGCATAGCTTATGAAATATATATAAAAAGTTAAATTATGCAGCAGCTAATTTGAATTTTTGCATTTAGAAATTTGCTGACTTTATTCTTGTTGCTTTAAAGCCTGTTTCTTGATGGGGATGGGGATGGGGATTTGTTTTCACCAAAGCTTGTATGGCATTTTATTGAATTTGCTCAGCTTGAGTGCTTTACATCTGCAAATCAGCTGATWGTTTAGTTTTTCTCCAGAAAGTTTGATCAAATACATTTTCAGAGTTTCTAGTTGAGATTTTATACATAACTGGGTGAGAAAAATCAAAGAATAAATCATCTCACAGAAAGAAGTAGCATTGGACTTCTTAGAACAAACAAAGCCTAATTCACAAAGTCTTTAGTCAGCCAGCCTTGAAACCAAATGTATAGATTTTTGTAAAGTTCTAACCTGCCAGTACCAGTTTCAGCCAGTTCAGATTTATCTCTAATAATAAAGTAATTAAAAAAATCTTATTATTTCTAGCCATTGATTGGCATTTCTATTTCTTCTTATTATTTTTAAACAAAAACTTTTATTATGTTGTATCAGTCAGTGCAGTTTGGGTCCTGTATAATCCCTGGGGTTCAGTTTGTTTCGGAGTACTTTTAAAGTTGCGAGGTTAAAAAAGGTTTAAATTGTTGAGTAACAGAAAGCCTTTACCAGAAGATTAACTTCTGACTGTTTTTAACACCTATATGTACAAACAGCTAACTTTAACCTTACCCAGTGGAAACTTTCACTTTAAAGTGCCTGTGACATCAATTTTTTGTAATAAATATGAATGCATTTTTGAAAAAAAAAACATTGAGAACATATTGTAAAAAAAGATTTTATGCCACTGAGATGAACAGTTGTTGAGATATTTGCATGTGAAGTAACAGGAAGTGATGTCAAAGGGGAATGTCTGAACCTGAACAGAGTGATGCTACAAGGGCCGACAATACAGACTGTAGAGAARAATCTGATGTTTCTTTAGATTATTTTAATCACTATCATAGAGAGATGAGAAGAAGTCAGAGTTTAAATATTATTGTTTCAATGAACAAAAACCAGGAAGTTTTCTTTCTCAAAGAATTCCCCTTTGATGTCACTTCCTGTTTTACTTTGGGTGAGCCAAATTCAGAAGAAAATATGCCAGTTATGTGACATAATGGCTAAAATCGTGTATTATGTCAAGTTTCTTAAATGTAAAGATGTTTTCTTTGACTTTTTGTACTTCATGGATATGCATGTCACAGGCACTTTAAGATGAGTTGATGTAAGGATTCATTAACTTTATTTGTATAGCACCTTTCATTTTTACTCTCTGGCATTTCAATGATTTAAATTGTATTTTATGTGTCTTGTCTATTTAATTTATTGTTTTTACTTTAAAATGTTTTTTATTAGTTGTTTTATGATTACTGTACAGCACTTTGGTGCAGTTGGTTGCTGTTTTTGAAAGTGCTCATAAACTTAACATTGACATTGACCTTTCTGAACAAATGTTACAAAGTGCCTTACATGGAAAAAATAGTTTAAACATCAAACATGAAACAAAATATACCAAATCAACTACAATAAAACCAAAAACAAACAAAAAAAGCCTTATTACAAAAGTAAGTCTTATTAAGGATGACATGGTGGCTGATCTATGCTTCATTCAGTGGCCTGTGGGTTTCTAGTATATATACCATCTCTTTTCAGGCTGTGTAACTGTTCAGGGAGTAATACATATAATCGTATTAATCCATCCATTTATCAGTCCATTTTCTACATCCACTTAATCCTGTTCAGGGTTGCAGGAAGCTGGTGTTTATCTCCAGGGGTCACTTGGCAAAAAGGAGGGGGTCACATGGGCCACAAAGAGGCTAACAACCATGCACACACACACCCACACTTGAAGGCATTTTAGTATTCAGTTAACCTTACATTCATGTTGGAYTGCGGGAATAAAAACGGAGCACCAAGACTACCACACATGCACGGGCAGAACACGCAAACTTCAGAAAGACCTCAACTGAATTATAAATCTGTGACCTTGTTGCCTCACAGCAGCAAGGTCACAGATTCACCAGTCTTGCTTTACTGCAAGAGGGGTGAGTTTTAAATTGGGCTTTTTTGTGTTAAATTACTATTTTACCTGCATGTGTGTGTGTGTTATCCCCAGACACTCACCCGTCCTTCCACAGTTCAAAACATGCAGGTTATGTTAAGTGGTGATTTGAAACTGATCTATTCATGAACAGTGTTTCATCATATAGTTCTCTGTATATCCAGTAGAGCTGTTCAGTGTTGTTGTGTGTTTTTGTCTCTGCTGTGGAGGAGCAGCTTACAGCATATTCAGCATCATGACTTTGACCTTCACTATGCCTCCAAATGGGGGTCATGAATAAAACATCATGCTGCACTTGCTGAAGCAACACACATAGCCAAGGACAAGCAAATACACACACACACACACACACACACACACACACACACACACACACACATTGTCGTTCACTCCGTTGTTGCGTTTTACACTGTTCTCACCATAAAAAAATACACATGGATATTATTATTATTAGCACTGCCCCAACCCCCAAACCAACTTCTCACTGTCAGAACAGCTTGTAATCCTAACGCCCTGTCCTGTGTGCCCGTCATGTTCTGCAGCTGCTTCAGACTCACCTTCCCAGCCTCATATCTGTGTGTTTCTGAGCAATAAGCCTACTGAGGACTGATAAGATAAGAAGGGGCATTAACAGTGCACCAGAGCATGCTTCAGGACCAGCCTGAAAACTGCAATAKCTGTAATAACGTCAAATGATGTCATCCTGAAAACACCACTCAACTGATCTTTTTTAAATATCTTTCTTGTCACACAACTTTTTGTGTTAGCATTTGAACAAAAAACCTTTTTGATATATTATATTGTCTTGACAATGCATGGATTTTGAGTTGTATTCAATTTATTTATAAAAAAAAATATTTAAAAAAGGTAGAAGAGACAGAATACTTCATTTTTTTAAAACTAGAATTTAATTTGCATCAGTGTCTGTTTTGTTTATTCTACTGAATTGTATGCATTTCATCAGTGTTACTACAATGTTCTTTTAAGAGAGTGTTTGATCCGGGAGCTTGTACCCCTTTTGAAGAGATCAGAACAAAAATGCAAAACACCTTGAGGTAATTATGGGGTTGGAAAGCATGTAAGTGGGAACGTGATAGAAAAGGTCTTTACTTGTGCTGCTCAGGTTAACTCTGCAATTTTACAAAGAGCCTTATTAGATGAGTGGATAATGAGGTACGCTGCAGAGGTGTCTGCAGGCACATTGCACGCAGAGTTAAAGGTCTGTATTCGAGCGTGTGCGTGTGTGCATGTGTGCGTGCGTGCATGTGTGTGCGTGCAATGTCA